TGGTTTGTTGTAACCTGGCTGCCTAGTTGTCTGCAGTACGTGTTTGCTTTAATGCGGTGAATATCTGCGACTCGGTAGGCATGAGAGATGAGAAGGGAAAGGGTTTTATACTTAGTGCTTTATACACTATTAATAATGCCTGTATCTGAAACCAAACATGTCGTTAAAGAAATGCATGAATCCCTAGTGTGGTTATACAGTCTATGCATGCGTGTGCCAAAGAAACAACTTTCAAGGTGTGGCGTAGCTTCATGTGTTGTGACTGGCGACGCCTCCCTCCCATGCAGACGACAGACGTCTGCTTCATTTGCAAAGATCTTAAAGATTGAAAAAGAAAGATTGCTCTCCAATTGTGAGACTCGCGCGTAAACAATTAACAGTGACAACACACGTAAACACAATTGTGGCACAACCTGCACAAATGTTTACTTTCCCCTGAACTGACTTTTCGTAATGCATTTGTCATCGAGTTAAAGGGTATAAGGAGTATTCTGAGACCCGTTCTGTAAAGTAAGTTTAACATATAAGCCAAGCTTATTTCAGTTGGTCTAGTGTGTTAGGCCGGCTAACTGTCAGGCAAAGCCTGAGTTGTTTCTAAACTCATTCAAACTTGCTGTAACACTGACTCGACGGGAAAGCAATGATTTCTACTCCTGACTTTTTGGCTGCCATATTATTTGACTTTATTTACCCCTATCTTAACACTATCCTAACTTCAGTGAATAGTAAACAAATGATACACTGATAAATTATAAGATATTAGCCTGTGATAGAAAGTGAGAAATATTTATTTTCTTCTCCGTCATGAAACGGTGAGATATCCTTATCCTCCCTCCCCTCTTTAGTCTCTTCCTGGAGAAAAACACTCCCACTGCAGGGACATGATGCTCTGTAGCAGATATTAGGAAGAGAGGTGTCCATCTTTCAATTTGAAATCAACGTTACACTCATTAAGAGGGTTATGCCATTGCCGACCAGCTGCTTCATAACATCTGGTTGACCAGTAAATTCACATACTGGTCATAATTGGGTGCGGGGTAGTGTGACCTACGGGGCTGTGTTGCCATCTCTGCTCTGTCTTACGGTGGGCTAAATGGTATCGATTTTAAACAGTGTTTTTGAACTGGGGAGGAAATCAGTTACTACAGTAGCGCACTGCAGCATGTTGCACTGAGAGCATATTAATGACGAGCTGTGTATGTGTGTCCGTCTCAAAGAAATGTGTTTAGTACTTGAGCTTCTTTCAGCTGAAAGGTGCGTGCGTGCGTGCGTGCGTGCGTGCGTGTGTGTTTGCGTCTGTTCTAACCACCAGCAGCAGAGACATGAGGAGCAGACGGGCTGCTGTTTAATAGATTACAAGGGAACATTGCGACCCATCGAGCGTATCCCCCCTCCACACACACACTTTTGTATCTTATTTTCATTGGGTAAATTGTGGCCCATCTGTCTGTGGGTCATGCTAACTTTGCACTCGTCATCTCTGTTGCCTTGGAAGTAAACCTCTATGCCGTTGGCTACATTAGCTAATCTATGAGACCCCTCTCTGTTTACTTTTGGTTGTACTAAATGTAAGTTGATTTAAGAAGCTTTATGAGGCTTGCGCCCTAATATATAGATGTGTTTCCTGAATTTCTACAATGGAGGTGTGCGAGTGCAAAAAGCGCATAACCCATAGTCGGAACCACAATTATGAGAATAAGACCCAGGTTGAAATCAAAAGATGGATCGGATATTTTGGTTGATATTTGATAACAAAATAGTGGAAGGTGAATTGAGTACAGTACAATATTCACTTTCTTGTGTAGTCTGTTGTGTTATTAATCTGTATTTAAGGACATGTATATGACCTATTCATGTGAATCAAAACGTATGCATGTCGACGCAGGTATTTTCCTTGATTTAAAAGGTCAAAAGCTATTATAAGTTATTCATAACATACGGTCAACTTACAGTCTAGTACTACTAATACTATAATGCTTATAAACCTTTTATTAATCAAAGAACATAAATATACACATCAGAAACACTAAAGTGCTGCATGAACTTCAGTCACTGGAACTCCTCACGTTGTTTCTAATGATGCAGGATGGCCAACAGGTTACCTTTCAGTCCGTATAACTTCACGTTTACTCCTCTTGGTTCGATTTTAAAAAGTCGGTGTGAACAGGAAACGGACCAGAACTCCACAATATATCATTCCCCCCCCTTGGTCCGGACCAAATGAACCAAACTGCAGTGTGAAAACAAAGATAACAAGTCTCCCTCCAGTCATTAACATGCAGCAGTCCTCCGTTGTTTTTCATTTCTTTGCTCTCTTTACTCCTAATTGCTTTCTACTCCTGTACTTCCATCTGTCTTTGCCCAAACTCCGAGGCTCTGGCTGGCGGTTTGCTGCCACTTCGCTGTGTACTGACTGCCAGCAGAGCAGCTTGTGCTGGAGCTTGTAGACTACAAGACGAGCCCTTTTCGTAAGCAAAATTAGTTTTTCTAATTCTTTACTTTCTGCCACACAGAGCTGTGGTGGCGTCATTCAGATCACATTATGTAACATACACACATTGGAATTGGCTGATTTGGCATTTTGTCAGTTTGACGATGGCAACTTTCTGTTAAACGGTTTCAGTAGAAGTTTCAGTTTCTGCAGGTGGTGGTGTTTTTGTCCATGCAGTTGTGGTTTGAAAGTTACCCGGTTTACAAAATGGTAACTTGTGTAATTTTCAGCTGGCAATCTCCGGGTCTGAAGAGTGAAGCCAATGAGGAAGTTCCTTAAATCTGCATTTCTAATGGCCATCAGGGAGGGACTCCTCTGGTTGTTAAATACAAGTCTTTATGAAGATGACTCTACTTCTCACTTGATTTACTACCTCAGTAAACATGAGTTTATGGTCTCCATCTTTAGTGTCAAGTGTTTTTCAATACAGCATGATGTTCATTTAGTAAATGATTATCCATTTAGAGTCAAATAGACCATGAAGTAGAGTATGCTTTAGGGCGGGGCTACCTTGTGATTGACAGGTTATTACCGCGGTGTCCGGTCTGGGTGTCTGTGGCCTAGCTCCACCCTCATCTCAGACGTCGCATCTGGTTGCAAAAGAGCAAGATGGAGATAACCACAATGCCAAATGTGAGGCTCCAAAAGTAACCGTCACTGCTTTTAATTTCCCTTCAGTAAAAATAAAAAACACTCGCACACAATTGTTCATCTAGTTTTTGTTATTTTCTACCACCCTTGTGAGTCCACAGTGTAGACAATGAAGGCTGAGGAGCTGCAGAGACGCTGTGAGGAATAGAGAGCAGCAGCTACTTGCCCTGAATAGTAAATGGATCACAGTGGTGCAAACGTTGGCTGATTGTCTGTGTTGTTGTGCTGAGTGCTTCATAAAACTTTGAGCTGTTCTTTGAAAGGCTAAATCCAGCAGTTCATGAAATCATATTTACGCCCCGCAACATTTTGTCTAATGGCGTTAGAAAGGCTTGGACCCCATGGCTCCATTTTGTGCCTGACTGGTTGTGAGGCGAGCAACGCGGTGGTGTGAAATTCTGCCCCACTCTCTGTATTAATTTCAGGTAGATGTAGTGCAGATGAAGGCAGAGATGAGGAGAATCGCTGTGCTGATTCATGGTTTAGGATGGTAACGGTACTCCAGTCGCATTCAGTTAGGCCTTCTATAGATCTGAGCAAAACTATTTTTATAGTAGATGGTTCAGTTGTCATCACATCACCTGAAGCCCCTAAAAAAACCTGTGTTTCTCTAAAATATAAGACACTCATTAAATGTGTGAAACTCAATATTGAAGTTCAGGGTTGTGTATTGACTGGACTGTGTGGGTGTGATGAGGTTTGATCAGAGTTGATTGACAGCGGGCAACATTTGCAAACAACCCACAACTTTCATCACGTTTTCATTCAAATGTTGCTAAATCCTCATTCTTTGGTAGAAACATGATATCACTGATCTCCAAGTGAGGAGAGCCCAAACAAAACAAAACCCCTCATGTGAAATAACCAAAACCTTTTAACTTCGGCAGAAATGAGTGCGTTCATGTCGGACCCCATTGATTGTAGGATGAAGCTAATCGAGAAAATGTGTTTTCAGGGCTTTTAGTGTGATCAAACTCCATCCTCTGAGAAGAACGTGAAAGTACCGGAAAAAGCTGGTTAATAATGGACCTCGGGTAATTTGATTCAGACGTATCCAGTTAATTTTGACTGAAGATGTGCTTAATGCTGTGTTGAGACGGACAACATCGCTGTGTGGAAAACACAGACCCTCATTCACTTCCCTCATGGATCCATTACTCAAACTGGCCTTCCTGGATCATGTCTAATCATCTCACTGGAGCCTGAGGCGACAACGCCCCACCAACACGTTTTAATTCGGGGCTATTTCCGGTCTGAATGCCCGTTAACAGGCAATGGTGTGACACAGCGAAATGTATCTCACGGGAACAAGGTTTCCCACTGCGACTCTGGGAGCTGAGCTTGTGCCAAGTTTGTCCCAGCGGCTCCTGTTTTCTAAACCCGTGTCTCTCCGGGGCTTGTAGTTCTTGATCAACGATGTGCTGCCGCCATCTGTCCATCAAGCTGTTGGTTCAGTAGTTGTAAAACCACGTCGTTTTACAAGCCCTATTTTTAGTTCAATGTTAGGATTAATAATTGATGGTGACGGTACGTGTTCTCACACCAGAGGCTCATGCCAGCCGGCTCAGAGGAACTCTCGAGCGGCTCTCTGTCTGGATGGCACAATAATTAGACCTGGTCTCCGGGGGGGGCGGGGGCGGTACAGCTCTGCTGACTGTGCATGTTGCAGCCCTCATGGCTGTGACAAGGAGCATCAGTGTGGTCCTCCTGTGATTCATGTGTAGTGGGTTCATTTCAAAGTTCTTCTCCAGGGTTCGTCACAGGGTCACTGATGTGAAGCGTTATCATGAGACGATGATGATCCACTTTCTGCTGTGTTGGCCACCATTTTCTAAACCCGTTTGTCTTTCTCTTCCAGCTGAAACTTGAAGATCGATCCATCGTCATACGAGACATTGTGCGGAGTAATTACTCCAATGTAAGTGGAGATTTATTTATTTATTTTTGTCTATAGCTCCCTCATTTTCACTTCACCTCCATCATTCTGTCTTCTTTCTAGCTTTCTTTCAGCCACGTCTCTGTCTTTGTTAGTCATGTCACTGTTCACCGCTCTGTTCCATTTGCTGCATCAGACACAAACTGGAATATCATAGCAGGTCGACGCTTACGAAATGCCAAGAGGAGGCGTTCTCTGTTAAAGCAGCGCAACAACTCCCAATCTGAATAAACCACTTTTTCCTTTTTGGTTGAAATACAGTGTTGTCTTGTTCACAGAGCATCAATCCAGTGGCGCTTGTGGAGGAAAGTTGTTAAAAAACAACTTGTATTTGTTGTATTACAGGACAACCAGTGTGGTATTGTGACCAACATTGACATCGAGTGTGCAGTGAAACTAGTGGGAACGAACTGTGTTCTGTATCCAGTTAACAGCAAAGACCTGCAGCACATCTGGGTAAGACATTTAGAACTAATTATATCTCTACTCGTACATGAAAAGGGATATTTGCTCACCTGTGTACAGACGGGTGATGATGAGTCAAAAAAATCTGCTTCCACAAGCTGTCAACATTTTTACCTTTTAGTTCAGCAACAGTAACATTATGCCAGATGACGGTCTCTGTACTGAAATGAAGCCATTATCATTGCTTAATACCTAATTAGTTCTTTCAAGACATTTTTAGGAAATGACAGACCCAGAAATGAAGCATTTTCAAATGTATTTCTCAGATGTTAGGCTTACACACATTTAGCAATAATACATATTATCATATGTGATTTAAAATGTGTCTGTAGTGTCTTTAAAGTCAGAGATAAGATGATGAAAGTGTGACTGTGAATCTTTTGGTCTGTCAGAGTAACGTAGAAAATGACACTATTCTGCAAGTAATTACAGTGCACCCTCATAATCCTAATTATTGTGACACAGGTAATACTTTGATGATTTTTTTATTTTTTTTTTTATTGTGTTCTCTCTAGTCTTTTATGTACGGGGACTACATCGCCTACGAATTCTGGCTGGGGAAAGTGTACGACCTGACTAATCACATCATCCTCAAGCTCTCCAACGGTGCCAGGTAGAGTGTGTGTGTGTGAGTGAGTGAGTGAGTGATTAAACAGCGTGTACTGTGACCATGTTGGAGTCTGTCGGCTACACGCTGGCACACATTCATCAGTGCCAAATCCAGTGAGCGTCAACCGGTCGTCTCTTTCTCTCTCTCTGCCTCCCTCCAGGTGCTCCATGAGTGTGGAGGATGGTGCCAAGCTTTACGACGTCTGTCCACATGTCAGCGATTCGGTATGTAGCCACAAGCTCTTATCTGCCACCCTGAGCAGAACAGCTGCTTCGCTTAATTTATACTTCTGCGGAAAAGCTTGTGCAGAACCGCAGAGATTGTTTGCGGAGCTCAGAGAGCTGCAGAGACGCGTGTCACGCACCTCCTGGAAAAAAAAAGTAAACTCACCGCGGGCGCCACAGAAGTTTGATAGACATCAGCGCTGGGAGCTCGGGATTTCAACGACCTCGCATCCGTTAAGACAACAAAAACTTTTCCAGACACAGCAGCTCCTCCTCATTGTCAAACTTTTCCAGACATGGAATTGTGTTGGGTCAAAACTCAAGCGGAACTATTGAATCACAGCGATCAAATAAATCAGAGACCACCTGCCAAACCGCAAGTCCAAGTCAAAAAGAAACGACATGCTGCACACAATCAGTGGCAGAACTATTGACGCCTGGCGCGTCTGAGAGGTGCCTGAACAGAACACGTAGAAGTATGAATCGTGCACGAGTCGGGGGTCACAAGAAACTGGTTCATAGTAAATAGTGACGAACTTTTAACTGGTTATGAAACCATATCGATGTAATGCCAATGTCTCTATGTGACCTACCTGAGTCGACCAGACGATCAGCTAGAAGATCTGCTATTTCTAAATGCTTAACATTTCCACTTTTGTTCTCGGGGACCGCCATCATCAACACAAAATGAAAGCTCCATCTAGTAGCTTTGAATACAATGTATACTGCATACTTAATGTAATTAACTTTAATGTGAATTTGTTAATATATTATAATGCATCCTTGTGTCGGTCATGTTCTCAGTTTTAGGTGATGTTGCATCCTTGTTACTGTGTTTGTTCTTCAGGGCCTGTTCTTCGACGAGGCGTACGGTTTCTACCCAGGTCAGGTCCTGATTGGTCCGGCCAAAGTCTTCTCTAACGTACAGTGGCTGTCGGGGGTCAAACCTGTGCTCAGCAGGAAGTGCAAGTTCAGGGTGGTGGTAGAGGAGGTGAGACGATGATGACCGTCCTCCTTTTTCTCCCCTTTTATGGCCAACTGTATTTGTGTCATATGCTTGAATAGATTTGGTTTTCCATGTAATTGTGTATCTTAAATTGTCTCCATGGTGTCGTCGCGCTCTCCTCAGGTGAAAGTGGTCGAACTGAAGGTGACGTGGATCACGAAGAGCTACTGTCCCAAAGGTTTAGACAGCGTGTATCCACCTCCCTCCACCATCACACAGGAAAATCTCTGCTGGTCAGTCTGAATATTCATCGACACGTCCTCACTCAGATTTCTGAACGGATACAAAACTGAAACTGTATCTTGTTGCTGCGCTGGTTGGGTTTAGGGTGAAGCGTCTAGGATACTACGACCACACCCAGAGGCAGCTGGGAGAGAGGGCACTTTATGTTTTCCCTGCCAAGGGGGACGCCACCCGCATCACCTGTGACGGGCCCGAGGGTGCCCCCGTCCTGCCTGAAGACCCTGTGGTCAGAAAGGTGCGGATGAAATGCATTTCTTTATTCCTACATGTCAGAGTATAGATTTAATTGTGCTGAATAACTTGTTGCCTGTTGTAAAAAAGAAAAATGTAGGTTGATACAGCCTGTTTTAGGAGGATCACGGTGCCGGGTGTATTTTAAGAAAGTTGGATCCCCCTCGGTATTACAGAGACTGTCAGTACTGCAAGGCATTTTTTTTTTGATCATCTTCAAACTATCACACGGTTTGTTTTTGTGTGTCTTATGCAGTTGAAAAGAATGTTCAAGAAGGATTTGGGAAAGAAGACGGAGAACGCCGACGCACAAGGTGCCAAACAACACTCTGCAGAGAAAACGCAGTATCCAGAGGAACATAGAGCGCACACACACACACACCTGCTCTCTAATGCCGTCAGTGATGCCTCTATTATGAACTCAGCAAGACTCTGATATGTAGGCTGGGAAGATATTTATTGTAAGATTTTTGACCATCACTTAACTTTTGACTGATCTGCCTTAAAAAGGCAGCAGTTGTTTGGTAGTTTAAGATGATTTAATCGTGTAAAACTCTCTGGTCCATCACCCTTAATCATTAGTCAAAAACATGGTCAGTATGCAGTCAGTCAGAGCATTTACTATTAGCAGTAAGACAGAAGTGAGAGCAGATGAATTGGGGTTTTATACGAACGTTAAATGTGAAACGATAAGCGTGATGAATATACTTTCTCTCTCGCACACACTCGTAGAGCTTAATCATTGTCAGAAAGGTGTGCATTATTTTTTACTTACATCCTCCCTAAAGTAGCAGAGAACTAAGTGTCTCCAGGCAAAGCAGAGTCGGAATGATTTAAAGTTCCTGTGAGACATCAAGCAGTCCTTTGACTGATTAAGAAATCCAATGGAGTTTCGCTTCTGATTTATTTTGTGTTTTTAGGTATATACCATTTCATCTCCCGTTTTTAAATTCCCCTTAAATTGAAATCCTAATGTGTACTTTAATCTCTCACCAGGGGAGCACAGATCAGAGCAGACAGACTCGTCTCATCCCAACAACAACAACGGCCCTGTCGGGCCCATCCAGAACCCTCCGGACTGCCCGTACAGCAACAACCCCTCGGCCGAACACGGGGAGCAGGACGCTGACGACGAGGCTGCAGAAGACACTGACGATACCAGGTCTGTCACCATTTACGCATTCGCACCGACATATTATGCTCATCGATACTTGTATTTTGGGTTTATTTTAGAAAATGTCTACGTCCTTTATTGTTAAAAAAACACTTTATTTTTCATTGTTGCCGTGAACTGACACACAGGTGCTCACTCACTCACTCACTCTCTCACACATACACACACCCACACGATCGATTGTATAATTTTCCTGGCAGAGATAATTACTGAAAAACAATATACTGAAGTTTCCTCAAATACAAGTGACGGAAAGACGTTTTGTCAGTTCATCTGAGAGGCTTCCTCACAGCTTTTTCTAAAAGTTACAATCGAGCTCGTTGAACCTGATAAATGACCACCGAGCTGATGATAATCGTCTCTCAAACATGGCCCTTAACAAAGTGTGAGGCTTACGTTCTTCCTGTATGTCTTTATTTAGACTGCTAAAAGATTTCTGCATGAACTTCAGATAGTCCCACGTTAAGCCCAGTTCTTTTTTTCCTGTGCTGTAAATGTAATTAACAGTTACTCAGTTTTGCTGACCAATCAATAAGAGGAAAGCTATTCTGTCCGTGTGTACACTTTGTGTGACTAAAAGAGGCGTTGACCTGTGACCGTTATCCTGGCTGCAGCTCTCTGACGTCGTCGGCCAGCTCCACAGCCTCCTCTCAGAGCGGCGGCCTGGGAACCAACCGCAAGAAGAGCATCCCGCTTTCCATCCGTAACCTGAAGAGGAAGCACAAGAAGAAGAGGACCAAGTTTTCCCGCGAGTTCAAGCCTGGAGACCGGTGGGTTAACGGCAGTGAGCAACACTCCAGCATCCCTTCCTCCGCTGTGGTTGCACTGCTTTTTACTTTTCTTTGTATCTTTCATTCCTTCTTTCTCGTTTTCATCCATTCATACCCTCTTTATTTCTTACTGCCAGTACGTCTGTCCTACTGGTCAACGTCTCTGTCGATTCAGTGACTCATCAGACCACTTTCTCAAAAGTGACCAGTGATTGATGCACTGGGTTTTTTTTTTTTTTTTAAGTCTCAAAAACAACTGAAGTGTTTTGACATTTGACAAATCCATTATACTGAACATTTAGTTCCCCCTCTCGCAAATGTATCGGGTCTTTGGTGTGAAAACCAGACCAATGACATCATCTGTTATCGACTAATAAACCGCTGCTTACCCTGTGAAGCTGACAACGGAGTGTTTGTGTGCCCCTCCAACCCCTCTTGTTTGTCAAAGGGCTCGTGTCTCGCTCTCTGACAGTGACACTGGAGCTCCACAGCAGCCTCGCACAGAAAGTCTTTCAGTGCCGACAACCGATGGTGTCATTTCCGTAACCGCACGCTGTCGCACTCATCCTCCGTTTAAAAAAACAAAAACCTCTCTCTTGCTTGTTCTACTTCATCCAACAAACCACAACACTGCGGGTGGTCTGCTCTTTCCCTGTTTGGTATTCAATTATAAGGTGTTTGCATTACGTTTTTACTCATCAGTGGTGCTCCTCTGTTCAAAGAGCTGGGTGAGGGGTAGAACTGAGAAAATAAATAATGAGAGGGGAGATGAATGTAGTAGATGCTACTGTAGAGAAGAGGATAGGAAGAAGGAGGTAAATCCCAAGTTTCATCACAGCATCATAATGATTCCTTAGACAACGATGTGATATTTGCAGACACTACAAAGTCTGTGGGGCCCTGCGATCAATATGAGACGATATTATATAACTAATCAACAGAATGTATTACTGGTCTCTGTAGGAAGGAAGAAACAGTCCTCCATATGATAGAAGTAAAGGTAGAGTTTTCAAATGCGTTAACATTTACCTTTTGTGTTATTGTATAGGGTCGCAGTGGAAGTTGTGTCGACAAAGACCACAGCTGACGTGATGTGGAAGGACGGGCGGGTGGAGACGGGGATCCGATCAAACGACCTCATCCCCATCCAGCACCTCGACAGCCATGAGTTTTGTCCCGGGGACTTCGTAGTGGACAAACGACGTGAGGAGAATTAGTTTGATTAAAAATGTTTTCACGACGAATTTTGACGTTTTTTTATTTTATGCCGTTTCGCTTCTTCCGACCACTGAAGACTGTTAGATTTGTGTCCTTGTGGACTGCAATGAGATTTGTTTTTATATAGGCCAGTCGGCCACCTAGTACCTACAGTATCTAGGTCATTTTCTGAAACTATGCCAAGTTTGTGTCTCTGTGAAATAGACTGAAAAACCAGGGACGTACGTTCAAGACTCTAATGTGCCAGCAAACTAAAGTTTCCATTTTAGTTCCTCTTTTTTTGTTATAAATCATTGCTGTTACAGGTTTAAAGAGTTTTGTGTTCTTTGTTTTGCTCTCTAAACTGTGTACGCGTGTTGCTTGTGTGCTCTCTCTCAGCCCAAGACCTCCAGGACCCGGCGGTGTACGGCGTGATCCAGTCTGGAGACCACAAGGGCAGAACTTGTGTCGTCAAGTGGATCAAACTCAACTCCACCAGCGACGACGTGGAGGTCAGTCAGGAAAACAAGACGGCTGTGTTTTTTTTTGTGTGTGTGTGTGTGTGTGTGTGTGTGTGTGTGTGTGTGTGAGAAAATAGATTGGTAGTATAATAGAGGGAGGAGACTTCATACACTGTTAGCAGATGGTCTCATATTTTGATACCAACCGCTGTACATGACTCTTCAGCTTTATAGCAGAATTTTTTTTGTTGCTTTATTCCAGGTTTTCGGTATGGAGGAGGATGTCAGCGTGTACGACATCGCAGATCACCCAGACTTCCACTTCCGCACCACCGACATCGTCATCAGAATATGGAACTCAGAGAACGAAAGCAACGACTGCGAAAATGAGGTGCAACACTCGTATGCATTGCACTGTATTTACTCGACCCCCATTGACATGGATGAGGTGGGCAAAATAATAGAAACACCTCTCACTTCAGAACCCTAAAACGGCAGTTTGAACACAAACTGAACATTCCTGAAGGGAACTGTATCAGACTGCATTAGTTTTAGCTAATAAATAATAAACACTGCTGTCTGTAGGGTCTCTCTCAGTCAGTTCTAATTATGATACAACCTGTATAACACACATTATCCCCTTGGACCCCTCTCGTCTTGTTTTCCTATTGTGTTGATGATGGTTGTATCTCTACATCCACCTTCCCTCAGACGTCGGTCGGCCAGGTGTCCAGGGTGGACGTGAGCAGCAAAGTGGAGGTGGTGTGGGCGGATAACTCCATGACCCTCGTCTTGCCACAGGTAAATGTGTTTCCTGATTGACGTTCACGACATTAGGAGGGAAACGCTGACGGTCTCCTAATATTCACACACGCAGCACCTCTACAACGTGGAGTCTGAGATCGAGGAGACCGACTACGACTCTGTGGAGGAGACGAGCAGCGTCCTGTCCACCGAGGAGTGGGAGGACGAGAGCGACAGCTGGGAGACGGACAACGGCTTCCCCGCCGAGGACGTCAACAATGCAGATGTCACAGAGACGGCGACGCTGACCTCCACCCCCACGGGCTCCACGCCGTTTATCACCCCCCCTCAAGAGCGCAGCAAAGCTGGGGTCACCACCCCCACTAAAGGAGCCCCCGGAGAGGAGGGAGAAGCCTCTTTGGCTGCTGCTAGTCCTGCTTCTGGAGGAGGTGGGGAACTTTTATTATAACATTATTCGTTTCAAAGGAATAGTGTTAACTCTCCTCTACAGGACTAAAAGAACTTAAAGCCCCTTTTTGTCTGCAGGAACTTCACCCGGTACTAGGAACCAAACCATGTCTCTTTGTTTGATAAAGATAATGTCAAAAAAATTAAAAATAGAGAGAGATTGAGAGGGCGAGTGGTAGAAGAGAGGGAGGCAGCCTGGCGGTGCTGTGAATGAGAGAAAAGAGCCATTTTCTGATTGTTTCACGGCGGTTATGTTCTAAAGCACAAATAAATAACCATCAAACACTCAACAGATGCTTTACTGTGGAGACAAGTGCTTTTAGTTTCATTTTCCTCGTCTGCATTTCATTAATTACATCCATCATTCATCAGTAAATACTATGCAGCAGTAAATGTTGAAATGAGACAAAACCAAGGTGTTTCCCCCCCATCATGTTTTTAGATGAAACGGACAGGTACGCTGAACTGCAGGCTACAGAGTGTGTTTCCTGCTGGTGGTCCAGCAGCCCTCCTCTCAGTCTTTAGACCGTTATGGACACGCAGACTACTGTGGGCTGAAGGAACCTTTAACTTTCTTGAAAAGCAGCCCTGGGACTAACATGACCAGAAATGACTCGGGTCGAAACGAGTTCTTGAAAAGGTTCCTGCAGTTGAAAATGGGGCTAAAATGATGTCTTTGATTACTTAAACAGAATATGGATTCAAACATCCCTTGATGCTTTTCTTCTCACGCGTCCAGTTTGTTTTTAATTAGTTATCCGCTTATAAATTCTGCCTGCTCAGGAACCACTCCAGGAGCAGTCAATGGAGCGGAGAAGCCCAGTAAAGATGGTCCCTCTCGGGGCTTCAGGGAGTTGAAAGAGGCCCTGAAGATCCTGGAGAGCCTGAAGAACATGACTGTGGAGCAGCTCTGGACCGGCGGTTTACCAACCTCCCCGACCTCCGTCGAACCCGCCTCCGCAACAAACGTGGCGAGTTCGGTGACGCCCGCGGCCCCGGAGAAACCGACGAAGGAGAAGCGCTTCCTGGACGACATCAAGAAGTTGCAGGAGAACCTGAGGAAGACGCTGGACAACGTGGCCATCGTGGAGGAGGAGAAGATGGAGGCTGTGGTGGAGGCAGAGGGGAGTGGAGGAGCAGGGACAGAGGTAGGTGTTGAATGAATCCACAACGAGGCCGAGTTGATGGGATTTTACACAGAAGGGCGGTGCACATAAATGAGCGGTAAACAAGTATCTTACTTGATGGGCTGTTACTGTTCAGGCAGAGAGAGCTGGAGAGGAAAAGCCCCAGCAGGAGCCGCAGACACCGGTTGGTGGACAAGAGTTGCCCAGTGAGTTTCTCAGCGACACACCAGTTCTGTGCCAACAGAGTGGTGGCAAGCCCGGAGTCACCTTCACCAGTGCCAAGGGAGAGGTGTTCTCTGTGCTGGAGTGGGCTCCAGGTGAGAAATGTTGCATTCTGTAATCACAGACGCACATCCTTTAGCTTGCTGACTCCCCTGCTCACACAAGCTAAGTTGTATTTGTTCATTTCTGTTCCTTTCCGTATTGCTATATAATCCCCATCTGGCTGTCCTCTCTCTATTTCTTTTTAGACACGCACTCATTTTATATACTGGACTTCCAGCCGGCGGAGGCAAAGAAGTTCTTCAGCACAGTGAGGAAAGAAATGGTTCTACTTGCAACGTCACTGCCGGACGGCATCATGGTCAAAACATTTGAAGATCGCATGGTAGGTTTCCTGTCGTTAATGACGCGGTTAAAAATATATATCCGTTTTATTTATGGTTAAAAAAGCAGCACTATTATCACCATCCTGAAATATATCATGCCCCGATTCATTTTGGAAGATAAGTTCTCAAAGGCAGGTTCTTGCCATCAGCTCGCTCTATGGCACGCAATACCATTTGTCTGGTCACAGTACATATTATATTTTATATTCTATATTATTGTCACAAACAAGCATCAACATTTTGAGCTAGTGAGAAAATGATTTCAAAGACAAATGAATAACTGCCGTCTCTCATCTCATTATTTCGTTTGAGCTGTGACGTGCTCTCTTATCTGATCATATTCACCGACCGTAACCTCAGTGGTCAAACGGTCTGGATCCCACTGACTGCATGCGTCATAAAATGCGCCTTAAAGCGCGTCTTAAAGCTCTTTACTTTCTTCGGCACAGGACCTGTTCTCATCTCTGATCAAAGGGCCGACTCGTACGCCCTACGAGGACGGTCTCTTCCTGTTTGACATCCAGCTGCCCAACATCTACCCGTCTGTGCCGCCTCTGTTTCGCTACCTGTCGCAGTGCAGCGGCCGCCTCAATCCCAACCTCTACGACAACGGCAAGGTCTGCGTCAGCCTGCTGGGCACCTGGATCGGCAAGGTGAGCGCCGTTTTGCAGGTTAATGTATGTACAGGTATAGCTGGATAACAGAATAGGCTTCAGACTGTTGGTGAGACAAAAAAAGACATTTGAAGACTCTTTGGAATATTTTATAGGCTAAAATAACATTTGAAATCAGGTATGAATCGATCATGAAACTGTGTCATGCTTTTTTGTGGTGATGTCATCCACAGGGCACTGAGAGATGGACCAGCAAGTCCAGCCTTCTGCAAGTCCTCATCTCCATACAAGGTTAGTACACACACACACACACACACACACACACACTTCCATCCCTCTTCTCTTCTCTGCAGCACAAGAAATGTTTTATTCATGTGTTCATTTGCTCAGAAGCGCTCCAAGTGCAGCATCTCACACTAATGAACTGTATCTGCCTCACACACACACATCGCACCACTTCCATAAGACTTATGTGCAGTCTGGCCAGACAAACTAAGTCCACATGATTCACTTCTAGTGTTGAACCAAATCTGGCTGGCTCAGAGCTGACACATGTAAAACGTGTCTTCGGTGCGCGTTTGTCAAGTCCTCGCCAGATTTTGGTTAAAATGTCCACCACCACACGAACAAATAATATAACCACTGCTGCTTCCGTTTGTCCGTCTTTTTTTTAAAACTTAAACTGGCATTTTGTGCACAAACACACACGTGTATCTTTCCGCAGGCCTAATCCTCGTCAATGAGCCTTACTATAACGAGGCTGGCTTCGACAGTGACCGCGGCCTGCAGGAAGGGTACGAGAACAGCCGCTGCTATAACGAGATGGCCCTGATCAAGATGGTCCAGTCCATGACGCTGCTCCTCCGGAACCCCGTGGAGGTCTTCAAGCAGGAGATCCAGGAGCACTTTGTTTCCAACGGCTGGCGGCTCGTCCACCGTCTGGACGCGTGGCTTGAGCTAAACGACGGCGCCGAGAGGGGCCAGGCAGCGCACACGTCCTCCAGGGCTCAACACTCGAGGGACCGACCCTCATCCGTGGAGCTTCTGGACGAGTGGTGGCCCGTGGTGCCGGCTCACAGCACCCCCTGTAAGCCTAGGGAGGAGGGGGTCACGGGTGCAGGTGTAAGCAGTATTATGGAGGAGGTGCTGGAGGATTCAGGGCTGAGTCCCTCCATGACAGCGGCCTCTCAGCAGGAGCTGAGCCAGATTTCGGACTGCGACATCATCCAGGGGAGTGCCTCTCTGGGTGGCGAAAACAGAGGGGGCGCCGCAGCCGCTGGCTCTGTAGTGCGCAGCGGGGCATCAGAATCGGGTTCGGTCGTGGTTAGCGGAGGAGGGGTGGGCCCCGCGGGAAGCCAGCCGGTGGTGCGACCAAAGAAACGGAGAAAGAGCTACCGCAGTTTCCTCCCAGAGGGCAGCGGCTACCCGGACATCGGCTTTCCACTCTTCCCGCTCTCCAAGGGGTTTGTGAAGAGCATTCGAGGTGTGCTGCTGCAGTACCGAGCTGCGCTGGCCGCCGCTGCCATCCCTGAGCACACGGAGGACAAGTAAGTGCCTCCTTGCCGTTCCCCCAACACACCTCTGCACTGTATCCTGCTCTTTTGCTCCTCCTCTTCTACCTTTTCATCCATCTCAAGCTGTAGAGGAGGATTCATTAGTTGGAGTCTGGGGGGACTGGAGTCTTCTGCACCCCTATCCAGAGCTGCACTGTGCCCCCAGCACTGCCCACATTTTTGTCCTCCATTTCTAAGTCTGTACTGCTCCTGCTTCCCCAAACTCCACATCGTTCTGCCCCCCCTCCCCCTCCTCATAATCCCTCTGGATCAAACCACAACCAGAAGAACAGCACCTTCGATCAGGAGAGTGAGCAGCTTCAGGGTTTGAATGCAACTTGATAATGTCTCTGTTCTCCTTCAGTGTCTCAGCAGATGAGTGTGATGGATAAAGTGTGGGGGGGGTGGATCTCACAGGCACTCAACCCACTGGAGCTACGCGGTCACACAGGAACCCTCATCTGTTCATGGCAGCAGGTAAACACCCGGACATTTCTACTGGAGGCTGTCACAAACTCTCTCTCTCTTGGCCTCAGCAGGACTTTGTGGAGGTGGTGTGGATGGAAAAAGAGGACTGAATGAGATGAAAAATCAGTGCCATGGACCCTCATCCACCCTCCTCATCCACCCAGCCTCCAGCAGCACCCACCATACTGGTGAGGATTTCCTGGATGAACCACTCTGCCGACTCGATCAGCCTGAGAAATGTAAAGCAGACTCGTGATCGTAGCTGCATTTCGGACGAGGTCAAAGATGGCTGAAAAACCCAGAAAGCCCAGCTCTCCCAGCTGCGGCTACCTGTAGCACTACTGATATACTATCGCTGTACCATCCTGCACTACAACAAACGAATGGACAATCTGGTCTGGGAGAGGAGATGGCGTATAAACACACCGACCAAGAGGATTCTTTTAAAATGGAAACCGCTGGTTGTACGCTTTCTGCCAAAATGTTCTCTGTCAAACACACACACACACACCACACACACAATATTCAAGTAGAACGTACTGAATGTCAGTAAAACTGCCAAACACAACAGCTTCACCACTTCCTCCATTATACTGTACTTGCTAGTATTTTCCTTCGCCAATCACTCGCACTGAAACACGCAGCCAACACCGAGTGAAAGAGTTTACATGGGAATCTCCTCCGGAGGTCGGACTGCTGTAGCGGTTTGGTGTGTAGAGAAGCCAGCCAGGCACAGGACGGCGGTTAGGTGGCGCTACGCTCCATGTCTAGGCACGCGCGCTCTAGTCGAAGCTTAACACAGCTGCCTCACTTTCTGTAGTATTTAGCAAAGTTGTTCGATCAATAAAATGGAAATAAAAATGCGTTTTAGCTTGTTTTACTCACAGAGGCTGAAGTGTAGGTTTCAGAGCAAAGCTTTACCCACAATGCTCCACTTTTTTTGTGCCGGAGATGAACCCACATCACATGTGAACGACACAATTTATAGGATAAATAGAAGAAGAAAAAACAAACCAAACACATACAGCATCCATTCCGTCATCTCGTGTCAACATGTTGCCTTACTTGAATTGTTCTTAATAATCTCAGATCGTTGTGTTCAGAGCTGCTCGTGTCGTGCTTTAGACATTGAACTACACAGGCCTCGACACACACTGACGACCACTAAAAACCAGATCCTGTGTTTTCCTCCTCAATAGTGCAGATCTCTGATCAGTTTCCTCTTTTTTCAGTTCCTAAACGTGAGTCTTTCACACTGCAGCAAACGCTGTATTCAGATTTAGTTTCCTCTCCAAATTGCACGTGCAGAGTTTGATAACATTAGAACACAAGCTGCTGTTAGTGTGATACTGAAGGTTTGTTGATGTTCTAATTATAGTTTTTGCTTAATTATTATTTTCTGTTGTTCTGTTTTTTTCCGCTGACTTGAGCGTCGAATCCCACGAAGGCGACTGCTGACCCCACCGCCGAGAGAAGATCACGCGCATTACAGCACGCAGACAAAACCTAAACCGATACAACTCGTCTGCGATCTGCTTTCCTTTATTCAATCTGGATGAAAGAAATCAAGGTTTCACTCACTGAGTTCCGGTGAAACTCTTGCTTTGTCACAGATTGCGCCGCGATTAAGTGGAAGAAAGTGAAACTCACCTTTTTGGGTCCAATCGTGCTTCCTTGGAACTCAGAGCAGTCTTTGTTTACATCTTTTCAAATAACTGCATCCCGCCTTTAACACAATGCTCTTTTTATTCTTTCAAGATATTACAATTCTCATGATGTTATTATTCTTATGATTACAATACAGGTCAGACAAACCCCCTTGTGCTTGCTATAACCTGTGAATTCAACAAGAGAGCACTGGCTGTCTGGTATTTTACTTGAACAAAGAACCTTGATGCTGAAGAGTGTTTCTGATTGAGTGAGCACATTGTGTCGTTGTGAAACCACGAGTGATGGGAGAGGGTCCAAACCATGAGCCAAGAGTTGCTGTGTTTTAAAGAGACTTGACGAAATAAGAAGTCAGGAATGAGGGTATTTTGTTTTCGCTCTGTCTTCCTCCCCACCCGCGACTCTCGCTGCTGTTTGTAAAAATGTATCTTCACAATTCTTGGCACTTTGTGTCCTTAATGGTCTGAAGACGCAAAGACTTAAGGCCTCGGTTACAGAGTTGTGACGTTACTGTTCACCCATTTGTCGTCGGCCGCAGAAACGGAAAATGTGAAGCTATCTCGGTAGATCTCGAAGCAGGATATCAAGCACATGATGTACAATTCTCTCTGTATGTGTATATTATTCAAATTGAAACCCTTGTTCCTATTATTACTGCGAGACGTTTGTTTTACAGCCAAAGCATGTAACATGTTGCTTTAAGCCTTTTGACTGGGCTACACACAAGACTTGACTGTACGATGTCTACATTTCCACAGTGGCCTGTTATTGATATACTTAAAAAAAAAGAAGAAAAAAAAACTAATAAAAGTTATGATTTGTAGCTTGATTCCTTCTGTACAGACGTCATGACTATATTGAAATGTATAAATACATACAGTATATATTTAACACAAACCCTGACTTGTGACGAGGGGCATATGTGTACAAAATGCTGAGTATTGTACTTATGGTTTCTCTTTTTTTATTGGTTTACTTTTGTTGCATTAAGACAACTGTATAGTGATGTATTAAACTTTGCAAGCAGTACCATAGCGACATTGTGGCTTATATTTATTTGGATCCCCTATGTAGCGACCGCAGATGAGCCTTTTCTTAACTTTAACAAATCGCATGAAAACCAACAATGACTTGATCCTGATAAGTAGTTATTGTGCAACCACATACTTTATTTTGAGTCGCTACCATGTTTTGTCCTGCTGGTACACATACTCATTAGGAATGTGTATTAATCCACACCTGAAAATAGTCCCCAACAAATGCACTAGTTCCTCCTGTTTGAGTAACGTTTGCCCAAAACAGTGAGTGCCCAGCTGTTTTAGGAAGCTACTGAGCCTCAATGAAGCTCTGGATGTTTGTGACCTCTTTGTCTCAGATCTATTGTCTTCATTAGGAACCAATGTGCTTGAGGCTTAGTGTCACACTCGCAGTAGGGAAGTCAGAAAGTATGAAGGGACAAACTAACACATTGTTGATTTAGGTCTTTGTTGGCAATGATAAAAATACAGAATAAATAATTCGTTGTTCTGTCATTTTGTTTTAAAAACGGAGTCCAATAGAAATCCATACATATGTAAATCATACTATTTTAAATATATATAATGTGTTGTGGCAGGCAGCTTTGGAAAACACAACTAAACACTGAAGTTCAAAAGTGGTTTTGAACCAATGACAAAACCTGAGTAATGTGCAAAATGCTCCCATGATCCGTACAGGATTATGCTTGATTTCTTTCTTTTCTAATGAGTTTATGCAGTAAGGTAATTGCATGCATGACTCTTCTGGTACAGAATATACATTCATTGAAAGGAAAGATGTATTGCCTGTTATTGGTGCCTTTTTCAGTCCATTGTCTAATCTGTCATCCTGCACCTGGCTTACTTTTAGCAATCGACTACCTGTCTGCATCTTAATTGAATCCTATTTTAAAGTGAGGATGGTTATATCCGTGTCAAGTTTAGTGAGTTTAATTGTGACTTTTAGACCAAATTGATCATAAGCATGAAGCCAACTGTTCTGCTGTCTGCAAATAAATACTTCACATTAGTGTCCAAAAATCAGATGCAGCCAGTGTTTCACAAACCAAATCTCAGACGGCTTGTTTCTCATTTATTTTTATTTTTCCCCAATCAAAAACACCCCAGCAGAATGTTTGATTCGATTATAGAAAACTTTACAGACATTTGTCTAATGGAAAAATAGATCTCTCTGTGAATAATCAATCATTTAATGTGCCAGAAATAAATTAAAATGACAAATTTCCCTTCACCATAAACATTTAAACACAAAATGACGGTTGAGAAGCAGCAGGTGAAGATGTAAATGACAAATCAACAGTCGCACAAAGTCACTTTCTCTCTGACACAATAAACATCAGTTCCTTCATCGTCTGATGCTTCAGCACATTTAGATTTAAAATCACACTTGGATTCAGGCAGAATGAAGGCTGCCTCTCCAGTTTTCCCTCTCGTTATTGAAAAGCTGAAGATTTCAAGATCTCCTCGGTGGTAATTGATGAAGAGGCGGCACCATGGCAACAGCATTAACAGTTTCTGAAGTCAGAACAGCACTGTGCATCAATTACACTTATTGTACTGACACATGGACAGATGTCCAATGTGTCCCTTCCTCCAAACATATCAGTTCATTTAAATGGTGATGAGAAAACATCAGTGAATGCACCACCGTGTTCACACCACCAGGAGGCAGCACAACCAAGGCACGTGAGACAGTTAAAAGGACCGCTGCGTCACTCACGAGAAACCCGACTTTGCATAGAAAATAAAATGTGTGAAAGGGTCTGGATCAGTAGCACTGTGGTATAAAAATATTACTGATATTCATATATTAGATCTGAACAAAAGAACAAAACAAAGGGATATATATCATTTAAACTTTTTTCAGTTTGTGTTTCTCATTTCTGGATGATTTTACATCTGTTACATCTGTACAAATGTTTTGTTTTAAATGAAACGGTCTCAGCAGGCAAACATCTGTCAGGTCGACATACTGGCTTCATTTTCAGAGGTCAGAAGCCAAACAGGTTGTGAAACACGGTGTGCGATGTAGCCCAGTACGTCCACTTTTAACAGTCAATAACCAGACCTCAGGTTGTAGTGCTACCGACCACATCTGTCCCCTAAAACAATTGCGCGTCTTCAAGTACCGGTTCCACTGTGAGAGCTTAAAGCTCGTCAGATGGGTTCCTGTTCCAAAGTCCTTCATCAGTAAACAGAATTTAAAAAAAACCTAAAGGACATAAAATTAACCTCGACGTCTCACCAACGCTTCAAAACAGCGTTGGCAACAAATGTACATTGTGCAAAAACATGTGTAGAAGAATATGTCTCTAGAGTGAATTAATTTTGGTCCTTCGCAACTCAAGTCTTCACAGTGTCAGACGTAGCTGATAAAAACAACAAACATGACGAGTCGGTAAAACGGTTTGATTATGTTGACACCACCTTTTTACCATCACTGTGTGTGTGTGTGTGTGTGTGTGTTTGTGTTTCTGCCTCGGGGTGAAATTAACTGAAACACGTCGTCCTCTCTTTCTCTCGGCGTCAGGACAGTAGGCTAATGCTCCCAAATGATTTCTTGCGGTGAGCAGGAGGAATAAGGGCGCCCTGTCCGGAACACAACGCAGCCTGCCTCATGCAGCATTTAACAAGTCGATATCTCCCCCCCCCCTTCTCTCCTCCTCTCTCCCTCCTCTCCTCCTCCCCTCTCCTCCCCTCCTCTCCTCCTCCCTTCTCTCCTCCCTCCCCCCCTCTCTCCTCCCTACGCTCACCAATGTGCTGTTTCAACTAGCTCAAGAGTCCATTTCACTTCCACTCAGACAAAGAAAAGCAGATTTCTTTGTAAAATGATTGAACGGTACCTCTGAAGAGATTTGGATCACAATGAATAACACATTTAAAAATCTGACTTTACTCCTCGTGTAGGCCTGAAGCCTCTGTCATCATTTCCCTAAAGCTCAATGGTAAGGACACCTAGGTGATAATGATTAGTAAATCTCCCATAGGGACTCTGTGTGTGTGTGTGTGTCTGAAGCGCAGCTGGGGACAGTGACACTGGAGCCTGGGACTGCAGTGCTTAAAGCAGCAGATGAATGGATGAGAGCAGAGGAGGAAGAAGAGGAGTGGTGTGTCAGGATGGAGGATGCCATCTTGGAGAGAACTGAGGCACTAAAAACACATCAATCACCCGTCCAGAACCAGAGCGCTGCAGGAGACACTGAACACTTCTACCCTGTTATCATCGGCCCGTGATGTTCAGCTCGGTCCAGGAAGTAAAGTAAAGAAACCCCAGTATGTTGTCTTTGAGCTCTAGTGGGATCTAGTCATGCAGATAGTTTGGGTTTTATTTGAGCTTTAATGTCATCTCTTTCCTGACAACATGTCCTGGTTACTTCGGGTAATCCTCAGACCTCACTGTGAAAACCATTCACAGGAACTTCTTTGTATTGAAGAAATAGTCCCGATATAAACTTCTGATGACTTTGAGCACAACAAACAAAACCCCAGATGTTTCAAAACCTCGTAAAATAAAAAGCAATTTCTCAAAATTGTTGAAAAAAAGATTCAAATGATAAAACTCGCACATGTTCTGAGACTAGAAGAAGAGAAATGAGTCATTATTCAAGATGATGTCAGAACTACCAATGACTCCACCACCAGGACAAACAGGCTATGATATTGTTTAATATTAGGAATATATTCTCTCTTCAAAATAAATATCAATAGTTATATTTACTGGTGTTCTAGGCTTTGTGGCCTTAATTGAGTGTTTGAGGCTCTGTGTTCAATAAACGATCAACGACAACTCCTCGATCACATCCCCACTTCCTCACATTTAATGCAACACGCACACACACACACACACACACACACACACACACACACACACACAGACACAGCGTCTCCAAAGTACTGCAGAGGAGCCATGAAGGCATACATAGCCCAGCCTGCCATGATTCATGTTGGTAGGTCAGCTCCAGCACAGAGAGGAAATCCTCTAACGTTACGGATAACAGTGAATGAGTCTTACATTCATTGCTTTGCTATTTGTGATTGTAAAAGCTCAACTGTGTTTATTGTGCCTCTCACAGCAGCGATGCCAGCTGGTGGTGATGTTTGCTCATCCAGTGATTAACCTCGCCAGCCCTCTGTGTACCTCTGCTTGCACCGGCCCGTACTCCACCACTTCTCCATCTACTGTGATTGTCCCTTTGGGTGAATGTGGCACCAGCCTGAGCGCCCGCACCTTAGCGTGCCCCAGATGTTGACAGTTAGTAGCCAGATGTTCCCCCTTCTCCATAGCCAGGAACAGCTTCAGCAGGGCGGCGCGCGATATCCCCGCTCTGACGTAGAACATGTGGATGACGCCGTCGTCCGAGGTGGCGTCTGGTGCTGCCAGCAGGTCCTCCGCCAGGTGGGACTGGTACATGGCCAGCATGAGGACAAAGTCTTCCTCCTGCACCACCACCCAGTCGCTGGGCAACGGGTGGTCCAGAGGCGGCAGCAGGGTGTCAGGAGGGCCGCCGGGGGCTTTGGAGGCGCTCTGACGAGGCGTGCTCTCCGTCCTCCTCACCTTGTGGGAGTTGTTGGAGTGGCAGGAGTTGTGGAAGGTGTTCTGGCAGGGAGAGTCTCTGGACGGAGCTAAGGAGGAAGCCTGACTGTTACAACGCAGCGTCGTGTTATTTCCTGAACCCTCGTCCTCGCTGTGGTCGTCCTCGGTGGCGGGCAGGTAGGCCAGCTTGCCCTTGTAGACGCGGAGAGAAGCCAGCCTCACCAGCGTGCCAACGGTGAACCGGGCGGCTCCGGCGTGACGGTACTTCTCGCTCTCGATGTCCACGTCGGCCACGAAGCCCCAGGCCAGCGACAGGAAGGAGAAGAGACGAGGGCCGGAGGAGAGATGGATGGAGATCAGGTCCATGTGGGCCACGAGCCCTTGACAGAGCAGGAAACCGCAGCTGACCAGGAGCTCCTCAGTGGACACCAGCGAGGCTCTGGAGGAACCAGGGAGGAGAGATGAGAGTTAGTCTGAGCTGGACATCCTGGAGACCATCAGCCTTCTCCTGATACCTGAACTACAGAGTTAAGAAGCTGTGCTCATATGAATTACATCATGTCAGTCATTAAAATATGTTTAATCAAAAAAAGCAATTGTTTTGGCCTGGTCTGTCTTGTTAGTGAGATAATGTATTTCAATGTATTGTTTGGGAAGTACTGAGGAACTCCGAATTGCATTATACTGCACACGTTGTGTGTGAGTTTGTATGCAGATTTTTAACATAGTTGTGCTTTTGTTAAACCTGACCTCCGTTTGATTGAATTCATCAAGGAGTTAGTCCGTTTTCGGATTATCCTGTCACCGTGGAGGTAAGAATTCAAGGTAATTAAGCAGTGAGTGACGTTAATTGATATACAAACCGTCATTTTGTGGGTGATGTCATTTAAGATGAAAAAGTTAGAAAGCACGTGGCAACCAAACAGCAGCTAGTAAAATAAAAGCTGTCACTGAACATTGTGGTCAGACTTGTGAATTCATTCTATGATCACGTACAAATATCGTGTCTCCACTTGTTTACTCCTCCTGGTTTGTTTGTAAAAAGGTTAGAGTGAACAGGAAACGGACCAGAACTACAATGCAATAATATATCATTTGTTCCCTTGCATGTGTTTCTGGTAAGACAATGTTTACAAGCACACGACTGCTGCACGTCCCCGCTGTTCATACATAAAGAGAACCAGACTCTGCAGAATGCTGCTGCAGCTCACAAAGTGAAGTGATGCTTGATTTATAGAAGAAAGCCACCACAGAACTACCTTCACTTTTAGTCAACATCTCCCGACCCAATGCACCTGACTGTGTGACAGGTTGTGTTTACAGCTTCCAGACTTGAACTTGTCTTTAAGGCAGAAGCAGATCTAATAAAACGGTGTAAAGCGGTGCGTTCCCCTTTACTGCGCAGAGATGCACCAGACCCAAAAGGGACACCAGTCAACGGCTTCAACTGGTGATCATTTTCATTATCGATTGATATTTCAGTTAATGAAGATGTCAGAAAATAGTGATAAATGATCATCATAACTTCCTCTAGCCAAAGGTCATGTGTCTAAATAACTTATTTTGTCCAATCAACAGCCCATAAATAATTGATTTCACAATGATATAAAAAGAGAATTCCTCAAACAATGGATCGACGAATCATTTCAGCCCTCTAGCAGTTCTCGAGAAGGAGCCACAATTAAGAATCTAGCTTCAAAAAATAAGAGGCAGACACCAAAAATAAGAGCAGGAAGGTGCGCTGAATATTTCTGGGTTAGGAAGTGGGTCGAGGCTCGTGCGTGTCTTGGGGAGTGAGCTGTAGAGGAGAGTGTTATACAATAGTGAGGTAACTGACCTTATTGTGTGATCATAAAAAACAGAGAGGGTAGATGAGGAGGGAGGAGGCCCATGGGGCTGTGACGGGAGTGGGGTGAGGGTGGGGGGAGTAGGGGGATACAGGGGGGAGGTTCAGTAAACCAGTAGGCTCAGCGACAAATGTTGGAGGTGGGACAGAATCAGCTTATGGGCCTTCAGACATGACAGGCCAGTCAGACAACAAAGACAACCTCATCTGGAAGAACCGAGACAGAGGTGGAAGGTCATGATAACAGCCCTAACACACCCACACCCACACACACACACACACACATATGCCTGCTGCTACCACCCACAGCCAATTACAGTGATGACTGGATGTCTCAGTGGAGTTCACTGGCAGTGGCCCTGCAGATATCTCCATATTCATCATCCTGAATTTATTCACCAGTCCGACTATCCAAACAGTCTCATCTACATTTCCTACAGCTCTGTTTCTGTTTAATCATTGAAACCATTGGTAGAAAGGTCAAGAAATAACAAGATTTACAGCTCCCCTGCTGCACCAGGGAACCAGCGCTGGAAAGTAACAACGTACATTTACCCAAGTATTGTACGTAGGTACAATGTTGAGGTACCAAAACCCTACCCTTAAATCTCAAGCTGTCTATGCAGTATCTGTGAGCCACCAGAGGAGGGAGACTCTCACTCACATCTGTCAGCGGTCAGATGATGTTCCGCCTCGTGCTCATTATGTTCGTGTACACATTAAACCCTCACTCAGCGAACCTGTTCGCAGCATTGCATAATACCAAATATGTTCTAGCTGTCACTCATTTGATTTGCGTAGCCTCAGTGAACCCTACATTCAGCCGGGGATAATACCAAACACACTCTGGCCACTGCAGGACGGCCTGCTGCAGGCAGAGAGACAGAGAGAGACTTTCTGGACGTGTGAGAGGAGAGCAAACAATACAGAGTCTGGTCCCTTCCTCTCATTGTCGCTGCCGCTCTGGCTGCAAGACCATTGTGTGACGAGAAGCTGATTGGCAGATGCCGTAGAAGTGATGAATGAATGTGGCTCTTTGATGAAGACAGACGCATCAGTGTACGCTGTTTCGTTTAATTACATTTTATAGTGACTTTAATTTTAAATGTATCCATAATTTAGTCAGAAATCCCACTGAGATTCCCACTGCAGCACAAAGGACATAAAGGTTGCTACCCAGCCAAAAAAACAAAATCAAACAAATACACGGAGATACAAAATGACAGATTACAAAATAAATAAAATAGTAAAAGGGCAAGATAAAGCCCAATGTGACCTACTAACAGTAGGAGCAGCTTAAAAAAGAAGTGCCTCAAAGCATTTCGTGAGGTTTTTAAATTCGCCCACGTGACTTCAGAGTAGAAAGGGCGGAGTGATTGAAACACAGACAACCGAATAATAAAGTAATATAATATATAAACTGTGGCGCTATCAGGGATGTCACAGCAGAAATAAAGGTTTTGCCTCTTAAAACTCTTACGCTCTCTTTTTTGTGTTTAGTTTTTTTGTCTCCATGTCTCTATGAGTGGTCCGTCTGTCTCTCTGTTTCAGTCTGGACCATTTTGGAAATATTCCAGGGACAAAATTGCTGACTCCTCATGACTTTGGCGACCCCTGACATTTCCTTACGGCGCAGTCATCAAGTCAACTCTTCAATTTGTCCAGTACTTTGACTTACGACCTACAAAACTAACATTTCCGAAGCCATAGCTACTTTGTGTTTAGTGCTAGTTAGCGAATGTTAGCATGCTAACACACTAAACTACTGTATGTTGCAATGCTGACGTTAGCATTCAGCCCAGAGCCTGCAGACGCAAGAGCTGACGCAATTTCATACAAATGTTTGATGCGTCATCTTCGCTCACTGCAGAGTGAAGAACTACTGCTAATACTGAGTCATAGTGAACGAGTGATTCCAGACAAGGCGGAAGTTTCTCCACCTCTGAAGCTGATCTGTTGCCGTTCTTGTTCCTTGGTTCATTCCTCCTCCTCCTCATTTCTGTCCTTCAACTTCTCCTTTCTGTTCTTTGTTCTGGCTGAATGAACTCCAAACAATCACTCAAATTAGCAAATCATTAATAATTGATAGATGAGATGAGTGCATTTTTAGACTGAAAAAGCCCCCAGAAGGCTGGCCCATACAGCTCAGTTAAACAAAATAATAACAACAGCCACAGCTCATTGTTTTCATCGTTACATCTTCACACAGTAGTAACTGTGTCTGGAGCGTTTCACACAACAACACAAATACCTGTTATTCTACGCTTACGCATGCAAATGACACACAGCACTGCACCCGCTATGATGGGGCCCAAATATGCCACCTCACTGGTTAGACTGGTTTCTGTGGAGCGTTAAGTTGTGGGTTAGTCATGGCAATATGGCGATTTCCACTTTTGAAACACTTTTATTTTACACTTTTTATTTTAAGAGCTGCAACTTCTCGTTATTTTCTTTGTTGATTAATCTGCCATTTATTTTGTTGTTTAACTGATTAATCATTTAGTTTATATAATGTCAAAAGTCTTGTTTACTCAAACAACAGTCTAAAATATTCAAATTTACTATCACGTATGACAAAAATGATCCTACAATTTAGGAAGCTGGAAGCAGCAAATGCTTGAAAAATTACTTGAACAATTATTTAATTATCAAAATACCGATTAACATTCTGTTGATGTACTTCAATTAATCATTGACGCTCTACTACAGTAAATCCTTTGTGGTGTGTGTGTGTGTGTGTCCATGAGAGAGACAATATCATAACCACTGCACGGCAAAGTATTTCCACAGTACATTGGTGGTTTTGTTCAGGGTTCTTCATGTGGCTCACCCAGAGTAGTGATGCACGGATGCAGCCAATGCGTTGCCTGATCCACCAGGTAGGATACCCAGCGGGGTCCGGACGGCCTCCTCCCAGTCTGGTCTCTCCAGCAGACCGTTTATCACCTGACAAACGCAGAAGACTTCGATCAGGCGGACAGAAAGAAATAGATACTGAGTAGTCAGTGTTTTCTAGCACAAATGGCTGTGCATCAAACCTCAATGCTTATATGACTTACATGTTTCCTTACATATTTAAAACTATTTATTTATGCAAAGTTCGTGAACCGCTGGTTGTGTTTAACTTTTGAAAAACAGTTTTTATACAAAACCCTTTTTTCAAAAGAAGCAGTAGAAGATTCAGTTTTGAAACTCAGGTATAAAAGTGCTTAAGTATAGAGCTACTGTTGAATTAATATTCAAAAATACAAATGACATCCAGCCCAGTTCAGTCAATAAAATGTCATAAAATTGGGAAAAGTTCCCGTTACAATTTCAAAATCCCCAAAGTGATCGTTATGTCCGAACCAACAGACTTTGGTTTCAGTCTCCAGGTTTTAAGTAATTTAATAATAATAATTTAATGTATATTTCTTTATTGATATATATTTATTTCATGTAAAAACTGAACGTATTTCAAGGAGTTTCATTCAGTTGTACAGTGTAAAGCAACTTGGTTAAAAAATAATAATAATTCTGTTGAATCAAGAGATTTTTCTTGAAAGTAAAATGACCGTAAAACATTATTTGATTTCAATTGAAAACTAGAGTGGAAGCATGTGGAACATTCTATTTGTCTCTGATGCATTTTATAATTGATCATTATCATCTTGATACACAGCAGGAGGTTCATAATGATGACAGAAGTGTTGGCTATGAGCCCCACAGTGTGTGAGCATATGAATGTAGTGAACGTGTGCGCGTGTGTCTCTTTACCTCAAACAGAAGTCCATCTCCAGACATGATGACTAAAGCGTCCCACTGTGACAGGTCGGCCTCCTTCACCAGCTCTCGGGCGTGGTTCTGCCGCTCTGCAAACATCAACACACACACACACATTAATATAAAGTGTGTTTTCATACAGGCCTGTCTTTTCTATATAATAAAGTAAAAGAAAACTTTGCCCTGTCAGCTTCAAGGAATGAATAAGGCAAGAATTAGATGAAAGATTAGGATCTCGAGGCCTCGTCCCAATTGCCAAATCAAGTGTCACCGTGGGAGTGAAAGCTGATATATGGTCTTAAATGAAGCGCCTACCACGCAGCCAATTAGATCGGAACAACTAAATTACCCAGGAGCACTCTGTCAAATTAGCCTGGGGCTCAATGATCTGATGAAGCGGGGCTTTGGTGACACGGCGTCCTCTTAAAGGGGACGTAATCAGTGTGCACAGGGACTATAAAACCAGACCTATTAAACATAGTAGGTTATTAAAAGTGCAGATCATTTCCTCAACATTATATATATTATCTGGGAGTCACTACAACAATGCTTCACTTTACGGCTCTGTAATTTCCTAGAAGTTCCCTGGAAAGAAACGTGGTTTGGCACTAATTATAGAGACAGTCTTTAATTAGTTCACTTTCAATTAATTAATCCCAACTAATTGCTTGTATAGAGAGCCTTCCACTCAGTGGAAAGCAGGCCAGCTGAACACGCAAAACAAACTGTCTGCAGGAGAGCATGCAACCCAACAAATCTAGTACGGGAATAAAGAATCCAGTAATGTAGGAACGATGAAGCAGTATTTACCCGTTAAACACAGGAACCTTCCTCAGAAATTATGAGGAAATAACCCGTAAAATAACATGTCACCAAAGTCAGAGACACCTTCTAAATGATGTCTGTTTGTTTTTCTATCTATTGACTGATCTGTGGAGGTGGTGAGATTTTAGTTTGATAACGATCTGACTTCTGCTAAGCTGGCGTTTTCTAAAGGCTATAGAGCAACTGCTAAGCCTTTTTAACTGCATGTGAGGTTCAGTCGAATCTGGTATTTAAATATCACTGTCTGTCTTTATGTGCGTGGAGGGACGCATCTGTCCGTCTCTGTCTCCCTGTCCTCCGTCTGCAGGTGAAAGGGCAGACGGAGGGCTGTGAGGTGTGAACAACGTCGGTGAAGCGCAGCGGCCTGTCACGACTTCAGTCACAACCCTCTCGTCTCCTCCGCCTGCTGAGGCTCAGCAACACTGGAAGCTTTTTCCCTCCGACTCTCAACTCTTTCACATCATGCTTCTTCATTTTCACTTTTAAAAACAGCCTTCATTCTTATCTATGATGGAATATTGATATTATTCTTTATCATATGCAGACACAGCATACTTGACGTGCACATCTGGGTGCTTTTTTCGTTGTCGTAAAAAATTTAGAGTTTCTTTAAAGATTATATCGACAGAGCTGTCACCACAGCCTCTATGAGAATGAGAGAAAGGACCATAAAGGAATGGATTATTGTCTGTAAAGCTGCTGCAAGTGGAAAATATTACCAGTCCCCTAATAAAAAGTGGCTTATCTCAGCAGAGACAACTCAGTAAAAGGTCCTCTTGCTCTTTGCTGTAACAGCCGGCAGAGTTGTTTTTCATGCAGTATGTATGACTTTTATTTTCGTCCAATGGTAGCCCGGTGCTGGAATCAGGATCTATGACTGAGCTAGAACATCAGTTTTTCGGACGTGGAATTTGTTAAAGGTTGAGCAACAAACACTTTTAGACTAGCAGGTTCCTGATGGACAGCCGGACTATCCCAAAGCAGGAAGACAGCAGTGCTCCTTATCATCGCAGCTGTAGCAACAGTTAATAATGCAAACCTAGACAGAAAGACACAGCAGCCCTAAGGAAGCTATTAGCTACAGTAAGTTACAAATCAATACACAGTGTGGTGTTAGCCATAGTGGTTGAGGCAGCTACAATAATCGACATGGAGAAACATTGGACTGTATCCTGGAGGGAAAAAAACCCACAACAGGTCTAGAAAAATAAATGTCAAGCAGTCAATTATATCATGATATTTTACTACTTTCTATTTATAGAAATTACTTTTAAAAGGTTCTACATTATTAAAAGGCCCAAAAATCATCCAGACTTTCCAGGGACCTGAAAATAAGTTGTCCTCCTTTGTGTCTCTTCCGTGTTCCTTGTTCTTCCCTTTAATGCTGCCATTGTGTAACTTATCCCCCCCCCCCCCCCACACACACACACAGAGAGAGTCCTCTGGAGAGAGATCTGATTTCTCGACCTCTCTTCTTCCCTTCTCCTAAACTCTGCAGAATAAAGGAATCAATTCATCCTTATCAGCCCAGTCACATCACATTTCCTTATCCATGCAGAGGCTGTAAAAGGGCCCAAAGTGACTCTGCAGTGAGGTGGGAGGAGAGCTGAGAGCTGCTTTAGTATGCAGCTCCCCTCATCAGACAGATTGATAATGGCAAAACGACGCAGTGAGGAGAAAACACACATCGGGGACGCAGATAAGTCACGCAGTGCGTGCGATGGTTTTTTATGGTTATGTTGCAGAGGTAAGACGAGGAGAGGAGTGCGCTAGAGTTTCTCTCTGTGGGGAGAGGCAGTGGATTGTGACTAACTGATTACAGTCATGCAGATCTCCGCTGGCCTCTGGTCACAGCCTGGACGGGCACAGTGAGGCACGTTTTAGAAGGATACAAAGATGAGTAAGCTCCTGTGGGGACAAGGAAAACTGCACTTCATTGTTGAGATTATGGTACTTCTTTCCAGCGTGTAGAAATATCTGAGCATTTGCAAGCAGCTTGGTTCACATAGTTGCCCGTATACTTGGAGGATTAAAAAGATCAACCACTAGGGAGCGTCCTCTTTGACCAACACTGGGACATGGCAGGTGAACATCAGAAGCCATTAAATAGACTTAGACTGGCTGTATATGCCATGTTTGTCATAATTCCTGGTTAACAGCATGCCACATGTGTCTTTTACTGCCACAGTTTCATTCCCCCAACTCTCAAAAACATATTAAGTTTACTGAAACAGCTCAATCTTAAATCTTATAAAACGCATGCATCCACAAACCACCACCACAGGAGGTCTGCTTTCACCCCACTGTCCCAAAACAAGGTTGTATGTTTTCGCCCAGTGTGAAGCGGGACAGACAGTAATAGAAACACACCTCATCACAGATCCAAAGGGACTTGAACGGGTTGTACCGAAGGCTACAGGCGCTGAAAGACACTTCCTCAGCCACGCCTGAACCACGATCAGCTAACAAGAGTTTAAACGTGGAAAAATCCTTTGCGGTCTGCCAGTGGGGAAGAAAAAAAAGTACCTAAATTGAGCAACAATCAAGATATAGTTCAACTTTAGAAAGTGTATTTACACCAAGCAGCAATTATATGAAGTGGTAACAACCACATTAAACGAGGATAATCCTGGAAATGATCACTTTTGAGTCACAGAGTCATGGTGGAGAGACTTGCCTACAGTATACTGATGGCTCTAAAAAATCCACAAGGGATTTACTAAAGTTACACATGAGAATAGACAGATACGGTCAAAACATGGGCCAGACCCGTTCAGACTATTTAGATCCATCTTTTCTGCCTGTTTCCAGTCGGATGAAGTGACAAAACAAAACTTTCACAGAAAAGTCAAAACGTCACAGAAAGGGAAAGGGAAATATTTTGCTTCTCTATTGTCGTTGCGCTCTACATTTCCTATGATGGAAACATATTTCCTTATTTTGTAGGATCTTTTTCCAAGATCGCTGTCCTCCTTGTTCATACAATACTTGTTTTCACATCCTCACATGGGCCAAAATGAGCTCCACCACAGTACACCTTGTTAAATGAGCCATGACGTTCTTTAAAAACATAAATAAGATAAATAATAAAGATAGAACAAAAGGAGCAGCACAGAGAGGTTGTTCGAGGAGATATCTGTCTCCTTCGGTAAATATTTGTAATTCGTATTGAGCAGATGAGTCCGAGCACGAGAGGAAGACGAGCATGTTGCTGTCGTTTAATTAACACTGTGTGACAGATATCTCAGGATGCCCGGGCAGCGAGGGAGACCGCCTGAGAGAAATCAGTTTGCTGTCTTTACAACCACATAGACACAGAGGCTCACTGTAACAAACACACACACTCTCTCTCTCTCTCTCTCTCTCTCTCTCTCTCTCTCTCTCTCTCTCAATCTCTCACAGCAGTGCAGTCATCCTTCAACTGTCCTCCATCCCTGGCAGTGCCCACAGCTGCTACACAGCCAAGGATCCCATAATGAGTCTGTCTGCTTTTGTTAGCATCGACATACAAGAGACTTCCTGCCGCAGGCAATGATACACAAGATCAGATAGACATGCTGTTAATTAAGCGAGTGCTATTATTATCATTAAACACGTGTTTTTCATTGGTCAAATTAGGTTTGTTCCAGTTAATCACTATAAGCTTCCCCAAAACAACGATTGTCAAATAATAGCTGAGCAAATGATTTTACATGAGGTCCTAGTCTGAAAGATAGGCCCACTATCCAAAGACATGTGAGGACAGTAGGAATGTAGCGTTAGCCATTGCATACTTTATACTTCTACTCAAATGTATTTCAGAGGGTAATATTGTACTTTTTTCGGTTTCAAAGCAACAGTTACTTTGTATATTAAGATTTCAAACATTGGATCAATTTACTACATATGTTGGGATCTGACTATATGGCTTCGACATGTGCTGTGGAACAAAGAGTCAGGCCTTCCCTTTTGCAAGCAAAGGTTTCATCCTGATTGTAGTTTGAGCACCAAACCCCCAGCTCTGAAGAATTTCACATTAGGGTGCGAGTTTCCTCCCCCCAAAAACTATGCGTTCCTGAAGTTACCTGAAAGCACCACTGCAATCTAATTGGCCGAGGGCCAAGACACCCCAGGACCCCTGTGGTTCAGCCACTGTTCTACAAAACTACCTGCAACCCCACCTCAATGCTTTTTCCCTTCGACCTCCGTCGAGCTAGGGAGCACACCAACGTTGTTTCCCTTTTCAACCAAATCCTAGGTCTAACAGTTTATATTCGCTGGCCGAATTCACCAAACTGTCTATTTTATCTTTGTTCGTATCCACGAAGCGAACCCCTTTTTAGTCCTGTAGAAGTGAAGAAGCAAGACTTCTTCAGAGAGAGAGAGAGAGAGAGAACTTCCACTCTCCACCAAGCGCCTCGTTTGCTCCGGCCATAAGGACGCGAAAATCCCTGATCCAGACGACAGCGATTCTCTCCTACCGAGAGAACACCTCCCGCGGCCCGCAGCCGCGCTGCCTGAGCCCAACGAAGCTCAGAAGAACCCCCCTCAATCATCACGATTGCATCGTACCGTAAGGCGAAATAGAGTCTGGGCAGAGTTAGAGAGAGTTAATTTGTGTTTATTTTATTTTGTTTGTGTGCTTAAAGTACTGTTCATTTTTATAACGTGGTGTATGCTTAATAATCGCCGACACTAACGGTCGCTGAGATCGTTGGGGTTGTGGAGAAGCTAGTGTATTTCATGCTACCGTGATCTGTGTTGAGCTAGCCACCTAAGTGAGGTCGAAGTTGCTTCTCATCAGGTCAGGAGGTCAGAACCGCCGGCTGAGACAAAGAGTCGCGGTTCTTGCTCCCCTGGCTGAGAGAGCAATCTTCCGTACTCCCGCGCGGCGCAGAGGATCTTAATCTCTTGTTTTATTTCATTTTGTTTTGTTCCTTTCCCTTCTCTTTTACTAACACACACACACACACACACACACACACACACACACACACACACACTCACACAGCTTTGCGCTAATGTAGCTACGTGCTAAACGGCTACCGGCACTAGACGCCAGGGTCTCCTGTTGGCTATCTGCCATTTTGAGTCTCGCGCATGAGAGACGTCACCACGTCCCAACTACGTCATACGTCGCTGAGCTGTTCCCTCGCTCCTCCTCCTTACACACACACACACACACACCACACGTACACATACACTCCCCCCTCCTCTTTTCAATCGTCTGTTGATTTTAGATAGCGTGCTCATAAATGTGTAGTTGTTGTTAGTTTAGATATTAGTTGACTAGATCATTAGTATTAGAACGTAATAAACTCTGTTATATTTTAAAGAGCAGCTGTCTGTGATTACTTTGTGCATGTGTATTGTGATAATAGCTGTATATGTGGTCTGTGCTTGAACTTAAACCTTCACTTTCACTCTGAATGTGTAATAGTACTCAGACTGTTGACATTGTGAGTGAACACTAATTATGAGACTTAGTTTATCGTTTGGTTATTGGTCCCTGTTCGCAGGGTGGTGCCCCGTTATTACTAATAATCATTAATAATTGTTACTGACATTAATAATTCTATTGATGTCAAGAATTTAGTTTCTTAGATGCTGATAACCCAAACACGCTCCTTTACGTTATGTTATTCCCAACATATTGGTGCCCCCTTTTTGAGGCTATGTTATTCCCAACATATATGATGCATTTCTTATCGATTGATTGATTACCTTAACCTGCAAGAACATCCAAATGCTGCTTGCATGTTAATGGATCAGTAATATCAATCCAATAATGCAATAATATACAGTAACACTGAGGGGCCATAAAGTATGGTGTTGATACTTCTACTTGTGTAAAGGAACATCATTCCAGTCTTAAGTTAGTTAGTATAGATTGTAGAGGCGCTAAGCTATATTTTCATGCTGTACTATAACACCAAATCCTGCCGACAGTTTTAATTATAGCCAGAAATGAGAAGCCTGCCTTTGATTTCTGTTTTAAATAAAAGACTCAGATTTCTAGTGGTAGCGGTGCCCCTGTTGTAAATGTACACTGCATCTGTGCAGTGTTTATGGTAGAGCGGCACATTTAATAGACTTAGCAAGAGTAACTAATGGGGGGCTTAGCAAGGAATCAGTTCTAATCCTGCTTGATTGACAGATGGTGCCGATAGAGGCCACTACATTGTCTTGAAACGGGCTTGTTTTATGTAAATCTGCATGAGGAAACTTTGCATGTCGGCTGGAATCGGCAACCTCTGGTGCTGAGAAATGAAGCAAACACGCAGCTGCCAAAAACTGCAGTTCCTCCAAAAGCCAGTCAATCCTCGTAGACCCCGCGTGTTCCAATGACAGACTTTACAGCCGAAACGAACACGTTTACAGCCTGGTACAAAAAACAGTAATATCCCCGTTAGGCCTAATTAAGGGTGTGGGCACTTTGAGTAGACAGGTGGGTGCCGTCACAGGTTGACAGGAGCCATTTGTCGACTCTGCTGCTTCACCCGGCCCGCCTCAGCTCCACCCACAATCCACCTCTTTGCCCATTTTTAGAGTTAGGCGGTTTCGTCACTGCCAAGACTGTTACATTTGTAAATGCAATCAGAGAGTGATGGTAAAACTGTCCCTTATCTGATGTATAGCAATGCTTTAGCTTGAGACGGATGAAGAAGCACCTGGTGAAAAGCTGTGTGTGATCACATGCAGATGTAAAGATATCATTCAATCTGAACACCGGAGTCGTCTGGCCCATTAAAGGCAATCTATTTCTGTTTGCTCATTGTGGGAAGGTGCCTCATGATTTTGAATGAATGCAGCCGTAGGGCAGGCTTCATGTCGACTCTGATCCGTGCGTGAGCCAAGGTAAACAAACACACAGCCATTCAGACTCTGCGCAGAGAGAGAGAGAGAGAGAGAGAGAGAGAGAGAGAGAGAGAGAGAGATGAAAACACTGCAATGTAACAAAACGTTGTCATCCGTCAAATACGGCCGCCTTGTATCTAACAGAGCTAAATGGGGACTTGTGCCTCGGCATCAGACGCCGAAGTGGGGCTCGGGGGGGGTATTTGACAACCTGACGGGGCTGCACACTGTTGTGCATGCTGTTGGCTGGGGGCTACACCCCCACATGAGGCCCAAAGGCTCCTAGCCGATGCCTAGAAACGTCCCGAATACAGCAAAATAAGAAAATAAAAGAGGAAATGCAAGCAACGGGCAGAGTCTCTGTAGATACAGACACCGCCACACACTTCGTCTGGGTCATAAGTGAAGACTGAGCGGGAGTATTTGAACACATTGCTTTTCAGAAAACTCCTGCATATTATAGGTTATTAATGAATCATTTACCATATAAAGTAGTTACAACATATATCCACTTAACAAGAAAGTGATAAAAACTTTCCTAAAGGTTTGCGATGTAATGTGTCGCTTCTCTCGCGCCGTTGTCACTGACTGATGAGGTGTGAATTCAAAATATATATTTCTGCTGAAGTAAGGAAATTTGAGGGTTTATCGGCTTTATCAAACAGACGGACAGGTGTGACCTGACAAACCCCATCCAAACGTCTCAACAACAGAGGACGGTGTTAGACCACACACTCGTAGAGGATGTCATATTGTAGTCTACATTAACAACCCATTAGAATTGTTGAGGAATTACTAGACTGCATGTAGAAAAAACCCAAAAAGGTTAATACTCTTCTGCTGAGGCATCATTCAGGGCCATTTCGGAGCGATTAGAGTCAACATTTTCTTTCAGAAGTCTATCTGTCAAAGAGAGTTTCTATCACTGTGGTATCCAAATGTCCCTTTCAGTAGCCATGCTTTTTCATGTAGATGTAGTTTTGGGGATTACATCTATTATGTAGTCTCCGGGATTAATTTGTCAAAAATTACATCTCAGAAATCACAAAAAGCTCATTTTTTTGTGTGTTTTCCACGGCACAGTACCAGTAAGATGGTTTCTCATGCGTCTCCGTCGGTCTGCCCTCTTTTCTCTATCTGTGCACCCCACGCTGTGATGAAAGACTTTTTTTATTTATCTGACATTGCACTGATTTATGAACAAACCCAGACAGAGGGTGAAACTCAAAATAAAAGAGGGAAGACTCCAGTGAATAAGTGAAACGACCAGGCTGAGAGTACGATACAGTACAGGATGAGTGAGCGAGTCGAACACTGCACTGTATCATAAGTACCGCCCAGTGTAGATTATGGGGACGATGATGAATGCATCAAGATCCTATCAAATCACGGCAAAGGCGGATTTTGTGCGAATGTGTGTTTATTGTGCGTGTGTTTTTATCCATATGTGTGTGTCACTGTGTGTACACATATTTATTACATAACAGATCTGCATGCATATGGGTCAGCGGCAGTTGATCGCCATAATGATGGTGACAGCATGAAAACACGGAGAGGATTTAAACTAGAGGAGGGTTACTGGGACAGACATGGAGGGAGGTGTTGCTGTGTGGTCTTTGTTGAGCTGTGTGTATGATTGTAAGAGTGTTTGGAGATGTATCACCCAGCCAGACTTACAGCTTTTATGTACATAACACCTATCAGCAGTAATGTGTGTATTCTCATGCCATGCTTTATACGCGTACTCACCGGTGATGACCAGAGTGTGTGTGACTCCCGCCTCGCTGAGCATTGGTTGGACGTGGTTGTTGTAGAGAGTGAGGGCCTGTCCTTTGCCGCTCTGCGGGTTCACCAGCAGCATCATCCGGCTCGGACGAGACAGCGCACTCATCGACACCCCTGCAGAGGACAGAGGAGACAGGGTCACTTCTCCACAACACAAAAATGTATTTCTAAATAAAGGAGGGCTTATAATGTGACACTGTAGTCTGGAAGGTTTTAGATTTGTTTGACAGCACAGTGAATGGACAGACTCTCGTGACTCTCTAAGTGATTCTTTTTTATTCTCTTATCCCAATTACAGAAACACAAGAGCCACAGCAAAGGAACACATAGCGGAGATGAGCAGGAGGGACACATGTCAATCTGTGTATGTTTGGAGATGAACGCACACAAATTGCACCCTCATCTCTCCTAACAGAGCTTGGCGAGGCTCCTGTAAAGGAGAGGTTGGATGTGCACAATGATTGTTGGAGCTGAAATGCTGAATATATTCAACAGAAAGGAAGACACCGCTGCAGTACAAGACCAACCCAGGAGACGGGAGGTAATGATAAACCCTCACATACTAATAGACAGTATATCACTGTATCACTATATCACTATATGTGTGTGTTCTGCTCATTTACAATGTGTTACCTCATTTGATAATGTGAATTAATTATACATTTCTGGGTATTTGGTCTCCCAGCTGATCGTGTGATCACTTCAACCTTTCAATCCGTTCATTAAAACAGTGATTGTATATATTTAGTGTATTTTTGATGCAAATTAGTTTTCAAAATAGCTTGGGTATCCAAAAGTAGTCAGGGGGTTACACTGATCTTACACACACAGATCCCAAATCTTTTTAAGAATACCATCTCGGCACAGCATGTTGCTGAAGAAGGGAGGAACTGGAAGAAGCTGGTTTTGGCCTTTTCTTCCTCACCGCCTGTGGAGGATTAATTAAACACTGCAAGGAAAAGACTGCCTTGCTAAAATATTAGAATATTATTCTATATCTTAGACGAGATGGGGAGAACTACATCGAAATATAGATATGATGGAAGGCGTGGTTGATAAAACTGTTCATGTTAATCATGGATTCCAGTAAGAAAATGTTATTTTTCTCTACCTCCCTTTTCTCGTGTTCCTTATAATATGTTGGTGTAACACCTCAGCTGGGAGAGAAGCCAAATGAAAGGAGGAGTGTGACGGGGCACCATCAGCCACATTAGAAGCGCTGCAGCTGTGGGATATCTTTACAGGTAGGTACACAGAGTCCTTTCTGTTGTAGGAACGCTCTGTCAACACTCACCCACAAAACAAACTGCGTCAGTGAAGCAGGCTGACAGGCAGAAACCCCAGTCAGAGGAAAGTTTGTTTTGCAGACTGCTGGATTTTAAAAAAAAAGAAGAAAAAAAGATCTAAACATTGTGAGCGTGGGGGGAGGCGAACGCTCCAAACAAGTCTGACAGCTGATAAATGAGTAACGATGGGCGGGAACAACTGAAGTGCAAGAATGAGCACATCTAACTGGTTCCCAACCTAATTGGCAGGTTTGGTTTCAACTGTCAGTGGATTCATAGGGATCCTACTGGAACGCAGTGAAAGAGGTCAGAAATATGTTCACAGGTTACCACGCCTTAACCTTTTTATGTTCCCTAAGGTAGGGAGGTAAACACTACATAGGCGTTTTAACTGCAAACAGACACTTCACATTTCCTGTGACGGGTTGATAAAGGGGCAGTCGCTTTCTCTGTAGGATGAATGTTTCATCTCCAAATCATAACGACTGGACTCCTGAGGGAAAGCCACAGCAGTGCCCTCATGAATCAGCTGGCACCGAGGGCCCTGACCTTGCCTTGTCTGTGTGGCCCGACACCCACATGGAGCTTGTTGGCTAAATCTAACCCCACGTCACTTCCTGTGTGTGCCACCCCTCCCCTTGTCAAAACATTGAAGAGGACACTATCTCTCTATTCATCTGGGTTTCCTCTTCTGTCAGGAGCTCGGCTGCAGCTTCGTCATGGCTTGGAGCCAAAGTGTGATATACATCTAATAAGGCACACTCGAATCAACAGAAATATATTCATCAAAATGTATCCACCATGCTGGACTTTCTGCAGTATATTTGTATGGAGGTGTTTGTTAATCTTCAGATAATGTGTCTGGTTTGTTTGTATAGGAATGGGTGTAGTTCTGGCAAATGATGATAAATGTATACGGTCAAAGCCACATCATTTAGTCCAATCTTGTAGTCTGTTTCCTTATAGTGGCGATAACTGAACTACAAATTATGACAATGACCTCCAGAAAACAACTGTAGGAAAAAGTGAATTGCTGTCCTGGATGAAGTGATAAAGTGACTCTCCTGCAACCAGACTAAATCGTCATCCTCGCAAACAGCAGCCGAGACGAAAAAGATGAAAGACGACAACACTACAGCAACAAATATCTGCTCTGAATCTCGACTACATTCACTTCATCTGTGATTACAGACGTCTCATCTGCTGTATTCAGACCAAGAGCATGGGAACCGTCCCAGATCTTAATGGAATAGTCACTACCGAGGTATTCGTCACAGGAAGTGACAGCCCAAATGAAAGGGGGAAAACCCAGGAGCCGTAAAAAAAAACACATTTTTCCGGCGGCTCCCTATAATAGCTATCTGGGTGCATATAGAGTCTGTGGATAGACGGCATTCTTAGCTTAGTCTGACAACTCATTATGTACATGCAGCACAGATGAAGGTCTAACTTGAAAACTCAAATGTAACATCTGTCACTTTTCCTTGAGATCGCAAAGTGCATCCTCCGCACCTCAAAGCAGGGCAGATGTACATATTCATTGAAATGTGTGCATTTTTATTTATTGACGCACAGACATTTTACATGAAATGAGGGTCAAATGCAAACATGACTCGGCATGTTGCGTCCTCGTTATGTGCCGTGAATGAATAAATTCATCCTCGACCTTACATGGTCATCGTTGCTTGACGACTCTGACTAGTTGCGATGACCCGTGCATGCGTCAGTCAGTGGCGCTGGTGTCTTGCTCAACTTCCTTCAGGCCAGCTTCCCATCAGCAGGGAAGCATGACGAAACATTAACCGTCTGCGATCGAGGAATAAAAGGAGCAATCTTGGCTTTCATCACACTTAGCTGAGCCCACAAAACACCACTCAGCCGGCATAAATTTGCAACTCAGATGGGACCGGCCCCACTCTGTCCAGATTTAGTGTTATTGGGGAACTAAAGGGACAAGGGAGACATCGGGACACGTTCTGCTTCGAAAGTGCATTTCATTTGTCGTAAACAGGTTTGTGTCCCACTCCTCTTGCATCTCTGTCTCAGTGGTGATGTGGGCTCTAAGCCTTTTACAAACACCCATTAGGAGGGAATCCAGTTTCCACATTCAAGGATTAATGGATTAAAATGTGTTAGACCTGCTATTGTACTTCTACCCTCCCTGTCATTTGACAGATATGGCCAATCTTACTAAATGTTAGCTCTTGTCCCAGGCCAGCTGAGGGCTTTCTCATATACATGTATAGCAGTCTCTATCTCATGTAGTCTGATGTATCTGGAGCACAAAAACAAAACATTTTAGCCGCCAATCAAAGGATAAAGCCGACTCCAACTGACAACACACAACTTGATTTTATGTTGCGCCCGTGTCATCTTTTAGCTTCTGAAAAACTTCCTTTTTGCAGATATATGAGATTGTCATCTGATCTGTTCTGCAGTTAACTACATACCAACTGTAACCTAATGACACAATGCCTGGGACGTATTCATCCTGTTTAGAGGGTCAGTTCTGCTCGGAGTCATCTCAGATAGTGACATACTTTAGTTGGAGCTTAAAGGTTTGGATCCTGACTGAACTGCAGGTGACTGTGGACCGGACCAGTTTAGTGATGTGATTAAATGTGCCCACTGTCTTATTAGTGTATGGACACGAGCAGTGTCAGAAGGAGTGCTGTTTTGTGTTTGATTGTGTGTTTTTTGGTGCTTTTCTTCACTCAAAGACCCTTTATAGCACAAAAAAATATAAAAAATCTAAGGCTGCAAAACTGTGCATTTTGATGGTATTGTCATATGTGGACCTTTTTAATTATAAAGTTTGAGGACTCCTGCTTTTTGTATACTCAGTGTTGGTAAATAACTATAACGTGTACATCTACTCAAGTACTGTACTTAAGGAAATGATAGTACCTCAAAATTGTACTTGAGTATTTACATTTTATGCTACTTGGTACTGTGCCACTTCATTTAGGAGGACAATATTGCACATTTTACAACTACATATAGATTATACATACATGTATATTATACTTATATACATATATTTAACAGATGCAGTTACTATTTACTATTCAGATTTTACACACAAATGATCACTGTATAAAAGACTCATAATGATAAATTAAAACTTTTGGAAACAGGACCTTTCTACTTAAGTGAAGAAGCCTTGTTTACCGATGACCGGCCTCACTGCAGTAACATTTGGGTGCAGTGAGGTGAGGACTCTGTCTCTAAATCAAAGAGTGGAAGCTGCACACAGCATTTTTACCGAGCCAGAACCACAAAGGGCGTGGAAGGAGGAGGAGGAGGTGGTGATGGCAGCGGTTAGCTTGCTGTAGCTCTATATTAGGAAAGGCAGAGAGTTTATGACATTGAGGTTTTAATTAAAATCATCCTGCACCGTCAACCCGGTTTTTATACCGTGTATCCCTTGAAACAGAGAGACGGGTCGGGAATGCAGAGAGAGGACGTGTCTCGTTATTAGGAGTGTGTTGGGCTGCAGGGTTGGATTAGGGAGAGGAGGTTAGCTTGCTGCATGTAAACAAACTTCCCAAAGGTCACTTGGTTACATTCCCACTAATGTAATGTTTAGTTTGAGTTTTCTTTTCATTTTAATTAACTGGAGCTTGAATTCTTAATTAATGTCAGCTCAGTTGACATCACGTTCGACTGTATGTTCACTTTCTGCAACTATTAGCCAGTTTTGAATAACAACACAAGACATGAGAGCATAACGTGACGTTACTGCAGACTAAAAAAACAGCTAAATGCACTTAAAAGGTGCCGTGTGCCAGCGTATGGAGGAAATGGACTTCCCACCATTAAAAAAAA